GATTTATTTTCCCCAGTGAGAGATGGTCTTGAAAAACATTACACATCAGGACATCATACAATGCAATCTCATTTATTTTGAGAACGTCATTGTTTGATATATGCCACTAACCTTTACCTTTCAGGAAAGATACAATCAAAAGCAAGCTATGAAGCCCAGGGTTCGACCGGATAATAGTTTAACCCTCAGCAAGTTTCTGTGAAGCCTGGATTACGACCAGATAGCAGCCAAGAATATTACGAAGTCTGGAGTCGACCAGATAGTGGTATATATTTAATACAAGGTATGAAGCTCGGATTCAACCGGATAATATCTTGATATCTCCGAATGCCATGAAGCCTGGATTCGACCAGATAATGGCATGATACATCGTGAAGCCTGGACCACAACCAGATAGTAGTGCATCCAACTTTCATCTTCAAAACAGAGATGATTTCTCAACAGAATAACGAACGATCGAGGTTCCCAAAATTCAATGGAGATGATGCCCCAGCGGAATAATGGACAACTGAAGCTCCTAAAATTCGGTTTCTCTCAAGAATGAAGATTCTCGTTCTTGCTTCCCCAGAAGATTGGCATACTCCCAACCTCCTGACCCAAACGCCTGAATGAAGATTCTCATTCTTGCTTCCCCTGTAGATTGGCATACACCCAACCTCCTAACCCAACAAAATGAAGATTCTCATTCTCAAGGTGGCACACACCTAATTTCTTAATATTCCCGACAGAATGAAGATTCTCATTCTCAAAGTGGCATATAACCTGAATTCCTGATATTCCCGACAAAATGAAGATTCTCATTCTCAAAGTGGCATATAACCTGAATTCCTGATATTCCCGACAGAATGAAGATTCTCATTCTCAAAGTGGCATATAACCTGAATTCCTGATATTCCCGACAGAATGAAGATTCTCATTCTCAAAATGGCATATAAGCTGAATTCCTGATATTCCCGACAGAATGAAGATTCTCATTCTCAAAGTGGCGTACAACCTAAACTCCTGAACTTTTTCCAAACAGGAATAAGCTTTTCTCAGAATCCTGAGCTTACTCTCCAGCAGGATAACTACTCTCAACAACATAGCTATTCCCCACAGAGTTTTTACTCCCCAACAAAATCAAGATTCTCATCCTTGATTCTCCAGTAAAGTTTCCAGAGCCTTTTTTACCCTCAGCATAAATTTGTCAGAGTTTTTAATCTCCTGCAAATCGAAGATTCTCGTTCTTGACTCCTCAACACAAATTCCCCTAGCAGAATGAAGATTCTCATTCTCAATTCCTCACAGAGTTTTCAAATATCCCCCATCGGAGTTCTCCTCAAAACAGGAATCCCCAGTAGATTGGCATACAACCCAAACTCCTGATTTTCTCCAAGCAGTATAACTTCTCCCCACAGAGGTTGTCAAAAAGCTTGAAGGCACACATACTCTTCTACAGTGGTCCAGGATTTATTTTCCCTGACAGCGGTCAAAGATTTTATTATCTCCAGCTATCCAGGATTTATCTTCCTCAGCGAGACAGCTCATCAGCTTACACGCGCATAAATTGCATTCATATATCATAAACATTGATATAACACATATATTACATCATACATTTCATGCAACATAACTTTGTGTTTCAGCTAATATTTTACCCTTTTCAGGATAAGATTAGCAAGCTTCAGATTCAACTTTTGAAAACAGTTTACGGATGCTTCCCAACATGGATGTTAATCTATTGCTTATTCAACCCCGGAATCATGAAAACAGTTTACGGATACTTCCCAACATGGATGTTAATCTATCGCTTGTTCAGATTCAACTTTTGAAAATAGTTTACGAATTCTTCCCAACATGGATGTTAATCTGTTGCTTCTACAAGAAAATTAGTGTTTAACGACACAAAAATTGCGACAGTTATGTGATAACTGTCGTAATTGACATATAGCGACAGTGTTTACGACAGTTGACACCAACCGTCCCTAATATTTATTTTGCGACGGTATATTTAACCATCATAATATTATTATTACGACGGTAAAACAACCGTCGGCCCCCATTTAACACTTTTAACATTGATTTTTCACCAACAACTAGTCACGACGGTAAAATTAACCGTCCTAAAAGGCATATCACGACGGTAAAGCACCCGTCGCACCCTTAAACCTTTCACGACGGTAAAATTATCCGTCCTAAAATTCATTTCACGACGGTAAAACAACCGTCGCACCCAAAACCTTTAAAAATTCTCATGGGCACGACGGTAAAACACCCGTCGCCGTAAAAAGTTAAAAATCTCATAAAACATCCATTCACTTTCTACTCCTGCGTTCAGAGAATCCGGAAGCACCGTGACGGCAGCGACTGGCGGCGATTCGTTGTTTGAAAAGATGGCTAGATGATCAAGAGCCAGTGATGATACTAGTTCAGTTGCACCAAAAACACACAGACTCACTCGCACAAGTCGTTTCTTCGCGTATCTCGATCTCATTTCTCAAATCCCTAACCTATCGTAAATGCGATTTGCATTCATAGATTCATAGCTGCAGAAATGGCCATAAACCTAGCCAAATTTCTCATACTGTTTTTCACTATTTCGATCTGCAACGCCGTCACGAATCCAAGTCCGATTTCCGATTCTCACCGTTCCGCTGCTTTACAACTCTTCGATGGTTCCTCTTCAAGGTCGATGGTTCCTCTTCCAGGAAGTGCCAAGGACTTCTTCAATCAAATTGAATCATTAGCTCTTCTGGAGAGCAAAAGGCAAGTGCTTTTCAGGAAAAGAATTTATAATTTTAGTACAGCTTTATAGTGGTGTCCTTTTTTCCCTCTTGTTTCTTCTTTGCACATATCTTGATATCTTAATAACATTCAGTAACAAAAATGCCTCGGATTTCTTGTTCTGGTGTAGGGTTCCCGTCCCATTAGTGCTGTCACTTCCTGCAACAGTTTATTCATTGTCCAAAAAAGATCAGCTCAAGGTAAGTAATGAAGTTAAAGTTTCTAAAGTCTTTATTTTGGGAGTGAAACGATTAATTGATGGTTCACACTGGTTTTCTGTTTTGGCTCCTCAACCACCTCATAAGATTATGTTTTTATCACTTTTTCTGTCAAAAATATGTTGGTTGACTCAAATATATTAAAGATTACTGATACAGTTCTGAGTTCCAGTTAGGCTTTCTTTCACATGATGCTACCAGTTATTTTTGGTTCTGTCATTTTCAGTCTCCTTTTAAATTCTTCATCTCACACTCTCCTATGCGCCATTGTTTTTTATTCAGTTGTGGAGCTTAATAAACTCTTCCCCCATTTCTCACTTGTTGATTCTTATACATGCAATACTATATTAGCATCACATGAATCAGTTGGCTGCATTAATAAATCTTAAGTTTTTTTTAATGAATGTACAGCTTTTCACTTCGGAAAATGACAGATTTCTATTTCAAAATTAAACAGGTTACAGTGAATACAGTACTTGGTTCAGCCGCACCACCTCTTACAGTTAAGCTTGTCAGAGCTTTCCACGCTGATGCTAAACATTCTGCTGTTATCGAGGGCAAGGTGAGTGATGAGTCAATGATTATTTTTAGAAGTGGATGTCGTAGAGTAATTTAGTTTATGGGATTCTTTATTATCTCTGGTCTGTTCTACTTTCAATTGTTTGAATATACCTCCCTTATTGTGTTCTACAGGAACTCCAGTACGATCAAAGTAGTGGACTTCATGTCATGGGCTTCCCAGATAATGTGGATGTGGGAACATATGTGTTTGTTTTTGAGGTATTATGTTTATTTAGTGATTATTTTTCCTTTCATTACACCAAGGTGTATTTATTTGTATCTGCTTGTTAGTTATAACGTTTTAAGCCTATTTTGTAGACAGCGCTTCATGATTCAGGTAGTGAAAATGATTATGCTATTGGAGGCCAAATTCACGTGCCGATATATGTCACTGGCATTGTTAAAGTTAGCAACGCAGAAATTGCAGTTCTTGGCAGTGATCTTGGAAGTGATGAAACCCAGAAAACGTAAGGTTTCAATTACTGGTTTGAAAACATCTCTGCAATTATATTCAGGATCAGTGTACTTAATCATCAATTAGTATGTCTCATTGTCATATGTTTGTCATTTTTATGCAGTGTTTGAAGTTCGAGCTGAACACATATATACATTTAAATCTTGGTTTTGCGTTTTTGTTAGCAATTCTATTAATTATGTTTATTTCTTCACTTCAATTTAAATCTTTATTTTGTGTTTCTGTGTAGGCTAGATTTGGCTGGAACTGATGTTGTTTCACTCTCAGCTAACCATCTTCAAAAGTTGCGTTTTTCTTTTCAGTTGATAACGCCTCATGGCCATACCTTTAAGCCTCGCCAGGTTTGTAGTAGTTGCATTAGACCTTTTAAATGAATGTCATTTCATTGGTCTCTTCTTTATTAAACATTTATTCTTCTTCAGGCATTGCTTAAGTTGAAGCATGAGACAAAGTATGAACACATCTTTGTGGTCAGAAATACCGGCAAGAAGTTCGAGATTATTCTCGTTAAGTATATCCTATTTTATATTTCATTGTCTAGATTAACATGTCTATTCTCGAGTACTTATTGAGTTTGTTACAATTCATAATAAATAGCTATTACACGATGCTGAAGTCAGGATAATCTGTTTTAGTTCATAACTGCTACATTCTGAATATTAGAAATCAAGTGAACTTAAAGTGGAAAAGGCATGTATGTTCTGGTTTTATTCAGGTCTCTTATACACAATTTAGTATTTATCACCTATACCTTTTGTATAATTTGCGAACCTAAATCATAATAATACTTATATTATGGTTGATGCAGAAGAAAACACTAACACCAAGGCTCTGATTCTAAGTTCTCAGGTATGATTAAACATAGGGAACTGTAACTAAAGAAATATTTAGTTCTTGCTTTAACTTGTGTTGCCGTGCAGGAAGCAAGCAACAAAGTCGATGAAGTTGAAGAATAATTGAGAAACCTAAAACAAGAATTAGAAATGATCAGGTATACAGTTATAATTGATTACATTGAATAGGCTCGTGGAGTTGTTGATATTTGTAACGAGTAACAATGTAAAAATGTTTGATGGTTTTTTCAGAAGTGAAAATATATCACTGCAATCAAAGAATAACTATTGGGAAGTTAGAGCAAAATATTCTGCTGATAGACTTTACAGATTCAAGAAAGAAAATGAACATCAGGTAATTATTAGTTGCAAGAGATTTCAAAATTTAAAGGAGATTATGGACTATTCTAATTTTTCTTTGTTGTGCTTTTTCAGTTGTTTATTTTGAAGCATGAAAATGAATTGATATCAAATGCTGAGAAACAAGCTCGTCAATTGGTTACTAATTTATTTCAAAGGATACATTGTTTACAGGTTGAGGCTACTTTCATTGCATCTCATTTCAAATGAGTGCCTTAATTTAATACTAATCATGTAGGGTGGTAAACCATGCAGATCTCATGACATATGGATAAGCAGAATGAGGTCCTTATGGAAACATACAGATCAATGTTGCATGAATTGCAAAAACTTCAGGTTGTTATATTTATACACAGTCCCTTTCTTAAGTATTTGGATTTGTAGCATTAAATCACCGGCTTTGTATATTTTGCTTTACTCTCTTTATTCTCCTATCAATTTAGGAAACTGCTAACTATGGCCTCAAGAAAATGGGGCTGACACTTTCAAGAGAGAAAAATGATATTTTTAGAATGTGATATTATTTCATGATTGAAAATTCAACATCTCATGATTTTGGCTCATTTGATATAAATCTTTTGAAACACTTTACTCCTGCACATTGTGATTTATCAGCTCAGTCTGATTTTTCTTATGGTCAAGATTGAGATGCTTATATCTCACAATATAGGCGATTCCTTTATCTTTGCAATATAATTCTAAGCTCGTGGTGAATTTTATTATTCCATGAATCTAGACCATTTCATTACAGCCGCTTGCAGCAAATGAGTTTCTCATTTTGATTCAACATATAGTTGTCTGATATATCTTTTGTATGATATGTTTACGGCGCATTTTAACATATGATTATGATTTTATTTGCTATCTTTCAGTTGCCATGTTACTGATATGTTTACTCATAGTATGCTTAGTGGAGAACCTAAAAAAATTGGTTGTTTTTTTAGCTCCAACTCTAAGCTGGCTCACACTCTTGAACTTGTTATTTGTTCCCTCTTTTTTGTTGCTGGCTACAATGTTTACAGGATAGTTTTGTTTTATTTTATTTGTGGCATATCAATATTTTCAAGAAATTAGAGTCAAAATTTTCTTTGGTGATTATTATTTTGAACAAGTAAATCACATGACATCTACAAAAACTTGAATCCCTAAATTTTGGAGTTCTGGTTGTTAGGTGGAAGAAGAGATGATTATGCGCAAGCTTTACGAAGTAATGTCCGTCCACGGTCTCACTAAACAGGTTAAGCTTTATCTGCTTTATTTCAGATTCTCAGTAACCAACCTATGTATAATGATATTCCCAACATTTGTCCAAAGAATTGAACTAATATTGGTGTTAACCTTTTTGGTTTCTGGTTATTGATGATGCTACTCTTGACGATTTTGCACAGAATGAAGACAACTCCAACGCTTCCAATAATAGTGCTGGAGCTGAACAAATCAATAATGAAGTCAATACAACACATGAGGATCAGTAAGGACAATTCTGCAAGAATTATAAAATTTCCATCTTCAGTAGATCAATACTCTCCATTAAAGAGATATTGGCTTTTTGTTGGATATGTAGTGCACTCTATTTACACTATTAGATGGTCTGTTGACCGAAATGGACTTGCAGCCCTGAGTCCCCATTTTAGAGGCACTCAAATTTTTTTTTAGTTATTTGTATAGTGTGTAAATATTTAGAAAGATACATTTTTATAATATTATTAATATTTAGAGAGGTCCTAGTATTAGCAATGTATTTGAGAGTTTGCAAATGTGCCTTTTATATAAATGGAAGAAATTAAAAGAGGATTATATAAAAAAAAAATTCTATAATTTTATCTTTTCTTTCAATTTTAAAATTTAAAGTGTACAATATGAAGTGTATGTTTGATTTCAATTTTAGAAGGGGAAAAACACTTTCAGTAAAATATTATAGTAAAATAATATTATATTTAAAATTATTTTACTAAATAATAATTTAAATAAAAATATTATTTGAAATTTATAAATCAGATTACGACGGTTAAAGTCAAATTCACGACGGTATATAACCGTCGCAAACAACAACAACAAAAAATAAAGTCAAATTCACGACGGTATATAACCGTCGCAAACAACAACAAAAACAAAAAATAAAGTCAAATTCACGACGGTATATAACCGTCGCAAACAACAACAAAAACAAAAAATAAAGTCAAATTCACGACGGTATATAACCGTCGCAAACAACAACAAAAACAAAAAATAAAGTCAAATTCACGACGGTATATAACCGTCGCCATCTGTTGTGCGTGACAGTTTTTGCAACCGTCGCGAAATAGGCTGGGGACGCACGATTCTGCGACGGTACTTCTACCGTCGTAGATTGTAAATTGCGACGGTTTTAACCGTCGTAATCAGCCAAAATAACCGTCCCAATCTATCATTTTTCTTTCAACCCCAGAATCATGAAAACAGTTTACGGATACTTCCCAACATGGATGTTAATCTATCGCTTGTTCAGATTTAACTTTTGAAAACAGTTTACGGATGCTTCCCAACATGGATGTTAATCTGTTGCTTGTTCAACCCCAGAATCATGAAAACAGTTTATGGATGCTTCCCAACATGGATGTTAATCTATCACTTGTTCAGATTCAACTTTTGAAAACAGTTTACGGATGCTTCCCAACATGGATGTTAATCTATTGCTTGTTCATCCCCAGAATCATGAAAACAGTTTACGGATACTTCCCAACATGGATGTTAATCTATCGCTTGTTCAAATTCAACTTTTGAAAACAGTTTACGGGTGCTTCCAAACACGGATGTTAATCTATTGCTTATTTAAACCCCCAGCTCAGAGACGTTCTAGACATGGATACCTTTCTGATACTCATTCTTTCACCTACAACATACAGTTCAACAAACATTCTCGGATGGCATCTTTTAAGCCCATCTCTGACAAGATTCTGTCACATCTCCAAATGGCATCTTTAAGCCCATTCCCTCAACTATGATTTGACAAGTGCAAATTTATGGGCACTCTAGTGTCCAATCATCTTTTACCTTCGAGTCGCGAACGGTAAAATTGCCAATCTAACTCCTCAGGTTCAAGAAGATTGAACAGGGGCAACTGTTGTACCCCAAAATTTGCCCTCCCTTTTCCATAAGAAATTACAACCCTAGGGTTTTCTCATATTTTCAAGATTAGCTCAAGAATCGATCAAACAGACTGTTCTCTGGCAGTAAATCAAGAATTAGGGTTTTTCTCTCGCATTTCTCAGAAGAAGCATAATCCCCAGAAATTCAATTAGCTGCTACATGTTTTCACGCTTGTTCAAGTTTACTGGTCGTTCTCAAAGCCTGGTTATCTGGGATAAGGGCTGAGACTCTTATTTGTAATATTAAGGCATCTGCTTGTTAATGGAACTAAAACGTTTGCTTGTTAATGGAACTAAAACGTCTGCTTGTTAATGGAATGCTTGCTTGTTTATTGGAATACACAACACGTATGTTGATTGGAACGCTGTCGCAAGTTATGAGATTACATAGTTTTTAGGGATTACTTGGATTTTAAGTTATCTGTATTAGAAACGCTGGAATGCAATTTCAGTTATTTTAAATCAGGAATCTTAAATAAAAAGTGAAGATGCAAAGGAAGAATTGAAAGATATTGACAGTAGAAGGATTTATTGAATTATCAATTGATCTCATAAAAGACTTTTTTATTCATTGCAAATGATTGTTACAAAAATAGTTTATTGTTTGAATATTATACGTTTTACAGCTTATAGTATTTGAAGAATAGATTATTACAATGAATAAAAAATTCTAAGCCTAAGCCTCCTAAACTCCATTGCTCCCATGCTCAAAGTCTTCTGCTTCCGTTGCTTTGTCGCCGTCCAAGTTGCATTCACCTGAAAAAGACAAAGAAAAAGAAATTAGTACAGTTAATTGAAAAAAGAATTTTCAAACAAAAAAGAAAGGAGAAGGTCATCATTAAAATTTGCCGTCTGGAATCAGAATGCTTATTTTTCATCACGTTTTATTTTTCTTTTTGCAAATCACAAGAAGATTGCTCTTCTTGGTTCACAAAGAGAAAATTAAAAATACAAATTGAAAATATTGCAGCAACAAAGGCAAACCAAGGCGCCAAAATTCAAACTAGGCAAGCTGAATGCAAACATAGCTACCAAACATTTCAAAGTCAGCAACCAAGTGGTGTAACAAGCAGCATTGCAACAAAACATGACAATTTTACAAACATAGGCGACCATTGTACTGCATTGCAAACATAAGCATGTCAAACTAAGCAAACTAAGCATGGCAAACCAAACCAGATGCAAACTGTCAAGTAAGCCAACTACAAAGGCAAAAATTACATAATGCAGAAAGTACCGCAAAAGCAGGCAAATGCAGCAGCCAAATACAACAGAAGGAAAACCTATTGACAAGCAAAAGACTTGTCAGAAGCCATCATCATTTTCCAGGGGAAAACTTTTCAGAATATAATATAATAAGCAAAAAATGCTTTTTGATGGAGAGAGAAAGAGAGAAAGATATCACCTTGGGTGAAGTTTGCAGTTTGGCTAAAGCAGGCTGTCTCAAGTTAACAAAGGCAAAAAACAAAAAAGATATAAAACTAAAGACTGCATAACAGTCTAGGGGGAGAACATTAGAGCCCAGCCAGAAATCTCAAAAATCTCCAAGCCTGCTATCAAAAATACCAAACTACAGGGAAACTGTAACAAACTTGCAAGCCTGTGCAAACAAGCCAGCAAACCTGCAATCCAAAACCTGCACAACTTGTAAACTTGTCAAACTGTTTGGCCAAACTGTGAAACCACAAAACCTGCATAATAGGCCAACACTTCTAAAAACCTGCCACAACTTTCAAACAAACAAACTGCAAGCTTGCTCAAACAAACAAACTGCAAGCTTGCTCAAACAAACAAACTGCAAGTTTGCTCAAACCCATAAACTGCAACAACAATCCAACCTGCAGAATAACTGCAAACTACCACAACCAAGCAGCATAACCAAGCCCACAAAACTGCAACAATAAACACAAAACAGTTGGCCAAACTGTGAACCAACTGCAGGTTTTCCAAACTACAGAACGAAGCCATCAACAACAAGGTTTCAGAAGCTTGTAACAAGCTTCATCATCAACCAAATCTCAACATCTACAACAAAGTTTCAGTCTAATCATTACCAATATTCAAGATAGAGGAAAAGATCACCAGTTTCAGAAAATCATCATTAACATTCCAAGAAGAGAAAGGAAGAGAGGTTCAGAAGCAGCAAACAACAAGTTTTCAGAAGTTTTTCATCATCAAACATCAATATTCAAGAGAAAGGAAGAGAGGCTCAGAAGTAACAAAATCAAGAACAACAAGTTTCAGAATTTTTTCATCATCAACAAAATCAAGAACAACAAGTTTCATAATTCTTTCATCATCAACATCAATATCTGAGAAAGAGGAAAAAGGTTACCAGAAAAAAAATGCTCTTAACTCATCATCACTTTCTCCTCCGCCCGGCCACCAAGGACGCGCCTCCGTCTCACTCTATTCTCTCCCTCCATTTTACATAAAATACCCAAGGTATGATATTCTCAAACTCTTACAGCATCTCAAGCATATAAACAACATGGGTTAAAACGAAGCAAACATGCAAAACAAACTGTAAAAATCAATCACACAACGAAACTGTAAAACCACAAAAAAGAGAAACGAGCTATACCGTTCGAACGAGCTTTTAGATCTTTGTGAAGAGGTGAGAGAGTGAGGTGGCGCAACCGGCGGCTAGGGCTCATGGAGGTAGGTCAGAAGCTTTGGCCTGAGAAGGATGAAGAGGAAGAAGGAGCAAAAGGGGCGCCGTTGTGAAAACCTAAAACATGCAAACCCTAATTTGTTCACAAAATTCTGAAACCCCAAAATGTTGTACAAACTTTTCATCTGGGCCTTCGCCCCAAACAAATGCCTTAAGCCCACATTGTTTTACCAGCGTACCCCCTCCCTTTGCACTGTCCATTTGTTTTTTTTTGTGTTTGTTTTGGGCCAGACTCAACCCTTAGCCCATTTCTTCTTTTTTAATAACAAATGTTAACTTTTTTTATTAATTCATTTTTGTTTTTTTAGTTAGTAATAATACTAATAACTTGATTTTCCTTAAATGTTTTAAATCACTTTTTTTTCTTTTCTTGTCACACACATTAATAAAATACAAAGAATAATAGAAGTGTTATTTAATTAATTTTGTTTTCTTTAAAAATATGTGAATAATAGAATTTTGATTAATAAAATTTTCTTCCTTTAAAATTTTATTTACATAATTGATAAAACACAAGGAATAATAATAATTTTTAGTCTTTCTTTTTAGAATAGATTTTTATTTGTTTATTTGTAAATAAATACATGCATCTCATAATTTATTGATTTTCCTTATTTTATAATTTGTTATAATTTATATTGAATTGCGACAATTAGATTTGGTTGTAACACTT